CCTTCTTCAGGGCCCCGACTGTATTGGGGGCCTATTGCAGATCGGCGACGTATCGCCGATTCCACGTGAGCTACCATTCCAAACAGGTCCTGCGCGAGATGGCACAGCGACCTCACGCGGTGGCTTACGCGGGCCGCCAGCGCGGCACGCTGCATCGGAAGCGAGGGCGCTCACGCGCGACCTGACGCGGGCAGCTTACGCGCCGATGTCGGCGAAGACGACCCCGTTTTTGCTGCGTCGCTCATTTGGTTTTGGGCGTGGGTCAGAGTCAAGCGCTAACGCCCAGCAGCACAGGACCGAACGAGGGCCCGACAAGGACAGCGAACGAGGGCCAGAGGGAAGGACACGACGACGGAGGGACACCAGCCGCGCGAGAAACCGAGGCCCCAAGCCCGCAGGGACAGCCGAGCAATGCCAAACAAGGCGGAACACAGACTTTGCCTTGAAAAGCGAGGATCGGGGGCGCGCAAACATGGATTGGCGATCCACAGATTTGGCGCGCGGTCGCCAAATCCATGGATCGGGGGAGGTGCCCGCCCCAAAATGCGGCCGGTGCTCGGTGGCGGAAATCCGCGATTTCCCATGGAAAGGGACCCGTCGCTAATCCACGCCCCCATTGATCCATGCTTGCGATCGCCTGGCAAGCCCGCAAGGACCGCGGAGCAAGGCCAAACAAGGCAGGAGCAAGGGCCCCGGGGAGACACATAGCTCAGCGGCAGGAGACCCCAGGATCGAACCGACATGAGAAGTCGGATCGGCGATCGGAATGGATCGGATCGGCGGACATCGGCAGCCAAGTCGGGAAACATCGAATCGGCGGAAATCGGGAGGCTGGTACGCCTCCAAGGAAAAATCGGAGCCCACGTCGGAATCCCAAATCGAATCGAATCGGAACCGGAAGTCACGGAGGTCGAGTCGAATCGAATTGGAGGGATCGAAACGAGCCCTGTAGCGGTCGCGGCCTCGCGCGGGCGGAGAGAGAGCGCCCCCAGGACAGAACAAACGCGCGCACGCGGGCGTCCCCCTTCGGAAGAAGGGCAAGGGCTGCCCGGGGAGACACACGCACACACACACAAACACACACACACACACACATACATCGACGCCAAGACCACGGGGGGGGGGGCGTTTCGACATTGGGCGGAGGAGGGGGGGAGGGAGGGGGGGGTCTGGCTCTGGACTTCTGCTTCATGCAACTGCTTGCAGCAGTGCGCCCTGTGGGGGAGACTCCACCTGCTCGAAACAGCCGCCAAAAACATCCAAGATCTACTCTACTCCATTGGGGGGGGGCGAGGGCCCGCGCCGATCGGCAACAAACATTCATGAGAAAACGACGACCATTGGGAGCGCCCCTCCCAGGGAGAAGCTGTCGGAACCAGAGCGCCAACGTCGTCGTCGCCGCCGCCGTCGTCGTCGTCGTCGCGGTCGTCGTCGTCGTCGTCGTCGTCGTCGTCGTCGTCGTCGTCGTCGTCGTCGTCGTCGTCGTCGTCGTCGTCGTCGTGGTCGTCGCGGTCGTCGTCGTCGTCGTCGTCGTCGTCGTCGTCGTCGTCGTCGTCGTCGTCGTGGTCATCGCCGTCGTCATCGCCGTCGTCCCCCTCAGAGTCGGCGGCACCAGCAGTTAGGCCTTCGAACATCAGCGTTTATTTGTGCTTGTGCAAATTTCCCCCTCTTCAGAAGGGACAGGAGAAATACTGGGCCAGGCGAACCTCTCGGCCAGGCTTACCTCGGCCTGGGCCGAGCTTACCCTGCGAGAGATGGGCCAGCCGAATTCAGCCTGACCTAGTGCACAGAAAAAAAAGGAAAAACGCCACAAGCATAAACTTGTGGCGCTCCGCGCGGATTTTTTGAATCTGCGCTGGACCCTCCCTGGCGCGCGGAGCGCGCCAGGGGCGGCGCCAGAGGCGCCGCCGGGAGGGCCCAGCGCGGATCCAAGAAATCTGCGCGGAGCACCAACAGTTTATGGTTATGGCGTTTTTCCTTCTTCGAGTTCAGCTGGCCGAATTCACCCTGGCCGAGTTCCGCCCCGCCGGGTTCCGCCCCACGGAGATTCGTCGTTGCCCCTCAAGGGGGGGGAGTCGCGAGAAGGGCGGCGACCCCACAATGGCAAGAGAAGAGCACACGCGCTCAGACCATATATATATATATATTGATATGGATGGGGGAGTGGGGAAGGGCAAAGAGATGCATGTGCTGGAGGTTCGGGCGCGGGTTTTTGGGTACCGAGGGGGGCCCCGCTCGAGCGGGGAACCCTATCCAACAGCACACCCCGAGACTCCCCCCCGAAGACTTCCACCCCAGAACAGTCTGGGGGTCGCATGTACGTACAGGTACACAGGGCGAGCGCGAATTTGCAAGAAACGCTCGCAGGAGACCCCGCCCTCGAAACCGCAGGCGAGGGATCCAAGGGGGGGGGGGGGGGGGCAGAACATCCTGAAGGCAGCAGCTCCTTCTGAAGGAGCTGCTGCCTTCAGGATGGGGAAGGGAGGTAGGGGAGGGGAAGCAAACCTCGAACCTAGCACGCGCAATGACGAAGCGCACTGGAAGCGCACTCGCTTGGATCAGCGCCAAGTTCAGCGGCCACGGGAAGCCGCCGAGCAGCGCGCGGAGCGAAGAAACCGAGGGCAGTCCCCGACGAAGCGCAGTACAGGCGCCGGGTGTCAGCTGCCAGCTCGTGGCGCGAGGGGAGCGGCGAGGCAGGGGGCCCTCTCCGCGGCCCCTCCTCCCTCCTGCTCCTGCTCCTCCTCCTCCTCCTCCTCCTCCTCCCTCCTCCTCCTCCTCCTTCTCCTCCTCCTCCTCCCCCCTCCTCTCCTCCTTCTCCTTCTCCTCCTCCTCCTCCTCCTCCTCCTCCCCCCTCCTCCCCTCCTCCTCCTCCTCCTCCGCCTCCTCCTCCTCCTCCTCCTCCTCCTGCTCCTCCGCCTCCTCCTCCGCCTGCTCCTCCTCTTCCTCCTCCTCCTCCTCCTCTCCTCCTCCTCCTCCCTCTGCTCATCCTCCTCCTCCTGCTCCTCCGCTCCTCCTCCTCCTCCTCCTTCTCCTCCTCCTCCTCCCTCCTTCTCCTCCCCTCCTCCCTCCTCCCCTCCTCCTCCTCCCTCATCCTCCTCCTCCTCCTGCTCCTCCGCTCTCCTCCTCCTCCCTCCTCCTCTCCTCCTCCGCCTCCCCTGCTCCTGCTCCTCCTCCTCCTCCTCCTGCTCCTCCTTCCTCCTCCTCCTCTCCTGCTCCTCCGCCTCCTCCTCCTCCTGCTCCTCCTCCTCCTGCTCCTCCTCCTCCTCCTCCTCCTCCTCCTCCTCCTCCTCCCTCTGCCCCTGCAGGGAGCACCGCCCCACGCCGCCGACGATTCGACGTCGACGTTGATGTCTTCGTCGTCGCCGTCGTCCGTCGACGTTGACGGCCACGTCGTTGACGACGACGACGTCGACGTCGATGCCAAAGCCCTGTGCGCGCCAAAACTTGACGGCGCCCACAAGGGGGCGTCTTAGAGGGCAGAGTGGCCTCCTTGGAAGGGCCCAGAGGCTTGAGAAGGCCCCTGCCTTTCAGAATCGAACCGATAAGGCGGATCGGCAATCGAAATGAATCGGATCGGCGGACATCGGCAGCCGAATCGGGAAAAACAAATCGGCGGAAATCGGCAGACTAGCATGCAAGAAATCGGAGCCCACATCGGAATCCCAAGTCGATTCGAATCGGAATTGGAAGCCATCGACATCGATTCGAACCGAATCGGAGGAGTCGAAACGAGCCCCGCAAACAAAAAACGGCCCTCAGATGCCGGGCGCTTGAAAAACAGAGCGGCCGTCAAGATTCTCCCATGGGGATGCCTCGAACACATTTGCAGCAATTCGCGATACAGTTTGGACGCCCGAGTTATCCGGGGTAACTCGGGTCCGGGGTAACTCGGGTTTGGGTTCCCGAACAACGAACCCGAGTTAACCCTGACCCGAGTTACCCCTGATGATTCGGGGCTCTGGACACCCGAAATATCCGGGGTAACTCGGGTCCGGGATAACTCGGGTTCGGACTCCCGAAAAACGAACCCGAGTCAGCCCTGACCCCAGTTACCCCTGATGATTCGGGGCTCTGAACAGTCGGGGTGACCTAAGGAACCCTGAATAAGGCACGATGCCTCTTCTTCCCCAACATGAACTTCGATTTCCCATCGAAAACCTAAGGAAAACCGAAGGCAGAGTGTGAAACAATCATGATGGGCCTGTTTTCCACTACCACCACCATACGTTGGAAGGGGAGGGGGTCCTCCTCCTCCTCCTCGACCTCCTCCTCCTCCTCCTCTTCGTCCTCCTCCTCGTCCTCCACCTCCTTCCCCCCTCCAACTTATGGTGGTGGTGGTGGAAATCAGGCCCATCAAATCAAGGAACACGGAACCCCTCCCAACAGGGTTTCTTCTTCAGCGCCCCGACTGTAACGTCCGAGACCGGCCCCGCCCGCCCCCCTCCCACTCCTCTGGTCACGCTGCCATTCGCGCAGGCGCCATCTGTCGGGTCGGGCGAAAGGGGGGGATAGCAAAGGGGGGGTTTGAGAATCAGCTCACGTAGCTGATTTTCCCGGCGCCTCCCGGCGCCGGGAGCGGCCATGTATCGAGGAATGGGCCCCTCGGTGAGGCCGAAACCAGCTGCATGCAGCAAATTTCGTACCCCCCCCTCTCCCTATCCCCCCCTTTCGCCTGGCCCGAATCTGGCACGTCGCCATCCCGAGGCATTCCCACACGGCGCCGGCGCGCATCGCCACGTGACTGGCCCACTCGCCCTCCCCTCTCCCCCTCCTCCTGGTCACGCACGTGATCGCCCGGGGATGATGAGAGGGTCCTGGGACACACAAACAAATACACACAAATAAAATGATTCCACATGTTTTCTCATACTTTTAGGGTTTGTATCTTCCCCCCCACTTCCCATATTTTTCGATATTTTCTGGGGGATCGACGATTAATTATGTCTGTGTTGTTTCCCCTCCTGAGATGAAGAAGCTGTCTCCTCTCGAGTGGGGAGGAGGCCTGCTGGCATTGTAGAGGTGCGCCAGCCACTCGCCGATGCCCGACGCCTGGTACGTGTGCTCTATCGCCCGGTCGGGCAGGAGGGGTGCCACTTTCTCCTCGCGCGCCTCTGGGATGGGAGAGCCCGGCTGACGAGCGGAAGGAAGAGTTAAGTCGGGCCTGTCCCCCTACAGGGAGATGTTCGACGAAAAATAAAAGAATACCCCAACAGTAATCAACAAATGTCCAAAAATAGTCGGGGGACTATGTTTTGAGTATTTGTTGCCCTTTTTGGGGCATGTTGGGGGTAATTTTTATTTTTCGTCGAAAATCCCCCTGTAGGGGGACACGCCCGACATAAAGGAAGAGGGCACCCTTGGCTGGTGATGGAGCGTGAGGTGTGGATCGCGCGGGGGCGGGCATTCGAATAGGGGATCGACTGTGTCATTGATTTACCATAACACTGAACGTTTTGTCGAATCTACAACAAATTACATGTTCGTATACCTGCGAGCAATATACGTAGTTCTTCGTAGATTAAACGGACATTAACATTTGGGGTAAGTCAATACTGTACTCGATGCCCTAAGTACTCAATTCGTGGGGCGTCCTTCGTGGGACGCGGGGGGATGGGTTCGATGCGTGTGGGGGGTCTTGAACGGGCCGTCGGACGGCGAGGGGTGGGGGGGGAGCTTCTCCTTGAGCGCCTCGGAGCTGGAACGAGGAAGGCGCCTCTAAGATAGGATCGGGGAGGCAAAAGGGCGGGGGATGCGGCTGGCGAAGCAGGAGGCAGAAGTGGAAAGGGACGAGAAGGGAAAGGAGGATGGGGCGGGGGGGGTGAAGAAGGAGGGGGACGGATCGAGCGAGGAATGCGAGGGGGATCATGAGGAGAAGAAGGGAAGCAGACGGGAAAGTGTGACGAAGAGAGGGAGGAAGAACAGCCCAACCCAGCCTGCTGGAGACAGTCCAGGAACTCCGGTCCCCGGTGGACAGGCCTCCCTGGACTGGCCTACAGACTCAAGGCATCATGACCTGGGCTGTGGCCTGTGGAGGAGCGCGTAGGAGTATCAGGACCTGCGTGCTGGCCTGCGGGGCTGCTCTTGTTGCCTTGCGCGTGGGGCCCCCCGGACCCCGCTCGGGGGGCGTGCTCCCAGCAGAGCGCGGGGAGGCGAGAGGGAGGGCCTCCCCGGAGGGGAGGGGGGCAGCGGAGAGATTGGGGAGGAGCGAGAGGAGCGGAAGGCAGGCGTGCGGGCGGTCGACTCCGCTCGCCTGCTTCCCCCTCGGCGGCGAACGAGGGGTGGGGGGGGAAGAGCGAGAAAGTCTTCCCTGAAAGCGGCAGGACTTCTGAGAAGCCCTCGCGCCTCCTGAGAACAGTGCTGCGCCTTCGGGTGAGGATGAAGGACGCCTCTCAGAAGGCAAGGTGGACCTCCGAGCCTCCTGAGCGGGCCCGCCCCTTCTCGATTCCCCCCCCCCCCCCTGGGCTGGCCGCGGATCTCCAAGCAAGCTGGCACCCATTGTCAGGCAGGGACGCCTGCACATCCATATTTTTCGGGGGCCCAACTAATTATGACTACCTACCAGACCACCCCAACCCAACCCGAAGACCCGAATTTTGGGTTGGGGGGGGTAAGGGTTCCACATGCGTTTTTTCGATGTTTCCCGACCCCCCCCCACTGGAAATCGAGGGTACATCTGAGCCTTCGGGTTGGGTTCGGGTGGTTTGGTGGGTGGTGAAACCACCAGGACCACGGGAGGCAGCGGATACGGGTACGCGTTTGGGAACCAACCCTGGGGCCCAAAAATGTCATTGCCCACCGCCTCCGAAGTCCCGTGGGGCTGGAGGCGTAAGGGGATTCTGAACTGGATGGGCCCCGAGAAAATCGGTCGATCTAGGGTGCGGGCAATGTTTATATCCATATCCAGTGCGTCTTGGACTTTCATGGAAGGGGCGCCGCAAGGCCGAGGCGCACTGGATATGGATAACAATTGAGCCTTTTGGAGGCAGATTATAATCCATATCCATTGCGCCTCATGTTTCTTGGGAAGAGAGTCCGAAACTCCAAGACGCACTGGATGTGGACATTGACATTGCCCGCACTAGGGGAGAAGGGCAAATCCGTTCAAAATCGGTCCCCGGACTCCTCCTGGGGTCAATCCGATGCACGCTTTCGGCCCGGGTCCGTCCTTGACGGTCCCAAGCCCCGAAACAGCTTCCCGGAAACATAAGGAAACAAAACACATTATCACATCCGGCACCCCGAGCATGCACCCAAGTCGTGCTGGCCCAGACCACGGCTGAGCCACCTCAGAGCCCCAGCCGGCTCGAACCGTGGGGTGAATTTTCACCGCGCTGGAAAATACGTGAGATTTAAGGGGCCGAGCGTTCATTCAGTGTCCCTGTCCTTGGGCGCGTGGCTGAAGTGAGGTTATGCGGTGTGGATTGTTGTTTTCGCTGTTGTTGCTGCTGTTGTTAACGTGGTTGTTGTTGATGTTGTTATTAGTGTTGTTGAAGTCGTTGTTGCTGTTGCTGTTGATGGTGTTGTTGTTGCGGTTGCTCCTGTTGAAGATGTTGTTCCAAATGTTGTTATGGCTGTTGACGTTGCCAGTGATGTTGTTTTTGGTGGTGGTGGTGGTGGCGATGCTGTGTTTGTTGTCGTCGTGTTTTGTTTGTTTTTTCCCAACCATCCTGTGGTGTTGGGTCCTCGTTTTGAAGAGACGGTGCCCCGCGTTCTCCTTCCTTCCTTCCTTCCTTCCTCCCGCTGCCTCCTCCCCCCTCCCATCATCATCATCATCATCAACACCCATTTCGGCACACCCCTCACACGTTTCGTGGCTCCATAGGGAGCTCCACCGAAGGCCCCAGTGCCCGCGGCCGCATGCGTCCCCCACACCCATTTCGGCACACCCCTCACACGTTTCGTGGTTCCATAGGGAGCTCCACCGAAGGCCCCAGTGCCCGCGCCCGCATGCGTCACCCACACCCATTTCGGCACACCCCTCACACGTTTCGTGGCTCCATAGGGAGCTCCACCGAAGGCCCCAGTGCCCGCGGCCGCATGCGTCACCCACACCCATTTCGGCACACCCCTCACACGTTTCGTGGCTCCATAGGGAGCTCCACCGAAGGCCCCAGTGCCCGCGGCCGCATGCGTCCCCCACACCCATTTCGGCACACCCCTCACACGTTTCGTGGCTCCATAGGGAGCTCCACCGAAGGCCCCAGTGCCCGCGGCCGCATGCGTCCCCCACACCCATTTCGGCACACCCCTCACACGTTTCGTGGCTCCATAGGGAGCTCCACCGAAGGCCCCAGTGCCCGCGGCCGCATGCGTCCCCCACACCCATTTCGGCACACCCCTCACACGTTTCGTGGCTCCATAGGGAGCTCCACCGAAGGCCCCAGTGCCCGCGGCCGCATGCGTCCCCCACACCCATTTCGGCACACCCCTCACACGTTTCGTGGCTCCATAGGGAGCTCCACCGAAGGCCCCAGTGCCCGCGGCCGCATGCGTCCCCCACACCCATTTCGGCACACCCCTCACACGTTTCGTGGCTCCATAGGGAGCTCCACCGAAGGCCCCAGTGCCCGCGGCCGCATGCGTCCCCCACACCCATTTCGGCACACCCCTCACACGTTTCGTGGCTCCATAGGGAGCTCCACCGAAGGCCCCAGTGCCCGCGGCCGCATGCGTCCCCCACACCCATTTCGGCACACCCCTCACACGCTTCGTGGCTCCATAGGGAGCTCCACCGAAGGCCCCAGTGCCCGCGGCCGCATGCGTCCCCACACCCATTTCGGCACACCCCTCACACGTTTCGTGGCTCCATAGGGAGCTCCACCGAAGGCCCCAGTGCCCGCGGCCGCATGCGTCACCCACACCCATTTCGGCACACCCCTCACACGTTTCGTGGCTCCATAGGGAGCTCCACCGAAGGCCCCAGTGCCCGCGGCCGCATGCGTCCCCCACACCCATTTCGGCACACCCCTCACACGTTTCGTGGCTCCATAGGGAGCTCCACCGAAGGCCCCAGTGCCCGCGGCCGCATGCGTCCCCACACCCATTTCGGCACACCCCTCACACGCTTCGTGGCTCCATAGGGAGCTCCACCCCGGAAGGCTCCCTCCAGTGCCCGCCGCCCGCATGCGTCACCCCCACCCATTTCGGCACACCCCCCGCATTTCTCGCACGGCAGGGTCATCACCACGGTGGCGTGCCAGGGGCGCACCTTGCGCGAAGGCGACGGGGCGGGGGAACGGCGCTCCGGGGGCGGCCAGACCTCCGGGGCGCGAGCAGTCCGCGGCCAGACCATCTCTCGGTCCTGTGGACTCTCGCCCTGGGCCGTCGGCTGCCCGGCGCGCTGCTCCCTCGGTCGACGTCGCCCAGGCGTGATCCTGGATTGCGGCCGCCACGAGGTAGGGAACGGCAAGAAGGAGGACGACGACTGGTGGCTGGAGCTCTACGTGCTGCTCTCGCGCGCCACGCGCCACGAGGACCTCCTGCTCATGCGGGCGCCGCGCATCGAGTTCTTCCTGGCAGGGCCGCCGCAGGGCTTGCGGAAGCAGCTGGAGCAGTTTGCGGCGCGCACGAAGCGGTGCAGGAGGGAAGCGACGGCCCTCGCCAGGGAGCTCGGCTTCACCGAGTTCATCCGCGAGGCCTGACCTGAGGAGCGTCTCCCCCGAGCCGCGCCTTCTCTCGACTGCCCGACTAATTGTTTGGCCTCGCGCCGCGGACGACCCGCGCGCGTCGCTGGGACCCTCTCGGGGCGACCAGCGCGCGTCGCGGGAACTCCGTGCTGCGGGGGGCCCGGCGCCTCGTTCGCCCGTCGTCGCTCTGCCCAGCGGTCAGAGACTTGCCCGCTATCAGCCAGCCAGTTAGCTAGTCAGCTCTCTCTGCTTCGCGCAGCGGACGACCCGCGCGCGTCGCTGGGACCCCGCCCGGGGCGACCAGCGCGCGTCGCGGGGACTCCGCGCTGCGCTGCGCCCGCAGCCTTGGATTTTGGAGTGCGCGGGCAAAGAGGAAGGAAAAGAAGAGCCGAAAGCGGGCGCGATCCTCGCAAGAGGCGTGCCGACATGGGCGTCGCGACGTGCGGACGCTGCCGTCGGGGTTCCCGCGGAAGCTGCCTGCGG